GCTTGTCCTCGCTGTGGCAGCCGCTGCAGGGGACATTTCGTCCTCAGCGCCTGGCTTTGTGGGAACTCTCTCTCCCTTTTGCATATGTATGGGCTGCGATGGGGAGAGCGTCTGCCTGGCTGTGCACCTCCCAGTGCACAAAGTGCTGTCACATCCCCCGGCCTGATCCTGGCACCAAGATGGGCCTCCCAGAGCAGAAACTGGGCACCTCTGAGGGTGATTGCTCTGAGCTTTGTGGGTTTAGGGCAGCAATGGGGCCCCACTGGCACCAGGGGCCAGCCCTGCTCCCAGCCTGCTGCAGGACTGCCCTGTGCCTGGGCTGCAGCCAGGCACAGCCCTTCCCTAAACCGATGTCCTCTCCTGCCTTGACCATGGGTCCGATCTGGCTGCAAAGTTAAGTAGCCTCCAGGTCTGCTCTTCCACCAGCTGCCAGAGCCAGCTCAGACCCCGGGCAGGGTTGGGAAAGAGGCAGATCCACAGAGCATCCTCCAAAAAGGCTCTGGGGCCCTGGCCAGGCGCGGAAGGGCATGAGACACAAACCCGAGCAAAAGCTTGAGATTACAGTGTCCTGTTTGAAGGAGACGTGGCCATGACCTGCACCTCCCAGGTGTCCTTGCAGCAGCCATTAAACCCCCAGGTTAGGGAAGAGTGGTCTGTTAGCGCTTGGGTGGACCAAGAGGGCAACGTTAAATGCTGCGGGTGGCCAGGTCTGGCATGGAAAGGGGGAAGACGTGGGAATTTTGAGGTCAAAAGGTACAGTACAACAGGGTACAGCTGCTCCCTGGGGCTGTTCTGGCTAATGTGGCTGCTAGCGATGGAGCTGGGGCTGCAAGACCGAAGGCTTGGCCAAGGCCAGAGCTGAGAAGACACCCAGACCTGTACTCAGAGCAGGGCAATTTCTAAGCAGCCTCTCTGGCAAGGGCACATCTAACCAGGAGAAGGGATGCCAGCACATATGAGCTATCCAGGATGAGCAATGCCAGGGAAGGCATCCTTGAGCCAATTCTGCACTCAGTTATATGATCAGCAAGAGACTCCTGGGGGAAATGGCAGCTCCTCTGTTCCCCGAGGAAGCGGTGCTCTCACGTCCCCGCATTAGCAGGTCAGATGTTGCCGCCCGTGTCCCCAAATGGTCTGGCCAGCCAGAGCTTTTGGGCTCTAACGTCAGTCGGTGACGCTCACAGTCAAGCTTTTCATCTTGGAGATAAATCAGGTTTCAGAGGAAAAAATGCATATGCGTATCTCATCCAGCGCCTTCAACACTTGGCTTGTCTGGACCTACCACGTTGCATCTGTTTCCTTCAGGCTGGAAGAATTTTAATTACAATTTCTACGAGAACAGACAATACAGACAGCTCTGGACTTATCCTCCAATGTGGAGACAACGTCAGTGCCTATGGACAAGGAAGCACATCTCACCCACAAACGGAGGACCTCCAGTGCTCTTGAGTAATATGGTCCTAAAAGTGCCATCATGCAGATGACATGCTTGAGAGCAACCACCTCCCCCAGCCCACCACCTGCAGTTAGGCTTGTTCTCGGGGTGACACGTGGCATGAAAATGACCCACTGCATTGTTTTCAAGCCAGGCCAGAAGCTGGTGACACGGTGGCCTAGTAGGACTTGAGCCCATACGTCACTCGAAGAGGCTTAGCCCACGTTATTTATACCAAGCTGGCCGGGCAGCCTTCCTCCGAGCCTGCCTTGCCTCGCTTGTTCATGGCAAAAGCAACCAGCCCCATGTCTCCAACTGGTTCTGGGGGAAGAGGGACCAACCCTGCCATTGCTTGTGCCCACACCAACAAAGCTGTGACCAAGCACAGCCTGCGCTGAGACAAACTCGTTTTGGGATGCCCCAAGCCTGTTACCCTGCTTCAGAAAGAGCCTGAAACCTAATGTGCAGCCCTGACCTCCGCCGGTCGGTGGAAGCAGTAAAACCTTGTCCTGGCCACCACCCCATCCTGGAGCACCAGGACGGGTAAGGGACGCTGCAGGCAGGGGAATATTTCTGCTCTAGCGCTGACCCAAGCCTGGCCTGTGCCAGCAGCGATGGCCAAGCCCTTCCCTCCCGGAGCAACGCAGGAGGCCAAACTCCTGCTGCTCAAAAATGCTCCTTCGCTGCCACATCCCAGGACCCGACAGGCTGCACACCTTGGCCTGATGTGGTAAGGGAAGATGGAGTTGCTCTATGGATGGGCAACAGGTTGCAGGAATTGCCCAGGGTCCTGCAGGAGACGAGTGGTCCTAACCGTGGGCTCTTCCCTGTCACAGGCAGGGCTCAGTCCTTTCACTCGCCTCACGCGTCCTCTGTTTTGGGATCCAAAATCCCAGAGCAGCTCTGGAGAGCTGGATCACAGAAATCCACGGTGAGGTTTGCTCGAGACCCACTTCTCTTACAAAGCTGTCATGCTGCATCTCCAAGACGAATGCGTTTGGCTTTGGGTTGGCTTGGCAACTGCTTTTTTGCTGGTTCATTAACTAATTGCTTAAGACAGTGTGAATGTTGCATAGATACAACCACCTTTGAATGTAGTGGAGCACGTATCTACCTCTGAACATCCTCAGTTGGGGATCCCTAGGTGCCAGTGTACCATCCTCAAGCAGTCCCCAGTGGGCTTCATGGACCAGAGGATGGCAGGAGGGCCATCAACCCCGTTCAGGACATCGAGAATAACTTCATTTACAGGAGGCAAAGCCTACCTGATGTCCCTCAGTGTGGCTAAGAGCCATCTCAGGGATGATTTGAGTCTGGAGACCACTGTGTACATAAACCAAACAAGTCTCAAACATCTCCCCTCCAGCAGTCTGTGTCCTGAACACCTATTTTTCTCATTGGATCATTTCTGGTGCCCACCTGGAAGACCTCGGCCTTTCTGGAGGACACGTTCCTCATGTAGGAACCTGCTGGCGGTGCAGCCCAGGTGCCGTCCAGCTGCAATAAGTCCTACATGGGCAGAATTGCCCAGGCTCAGCTTCATCCTTTCCCCCCTGACCCTGGATGAGGTGAACTTTGTTATTTTCACATCCAGAGCAGCACCGCACGTCTCCCTCACAGCTGCTGGTGAAACATGCCACGTGTCGAAGCCACGCCGAGCAGTATTTGTGCTACTCTGGGGAGCTGCGCAGCGCTGCTTTGCTGCTGGGGCTCTAGCTTCAAGGATTAGTCATGGTAATCGTAGTAACCTGTGATTAATTCCTCCTTTTCCAATTTGCACTGCTCTCATGGAGGATGTACGTATTTATACCTGCCGGCCAAAGCCATGGGAAAACTGCATAGCCTAGAGAGAAGGAGGACAGAGACCTGGAGGTCTTGAATTCTTTAGAAGTTGAATAACACAGCCAAACAGAAATAAGGGAAATTAAATGCATGATCGCACCCACGAATCGCTCTCCTTGACTGCGCTGGAGAAATGGGGTAAAATTCACAAGGATTTTCACTGCGGGATCACTCCTGTCACAGTTTCTGGGTCTGCACAAGGATCTGGGAGTTGAGCAGAGCTTCTCCATTTGGGTAGAGTCAATGGGCCACAGACCACGCCAGGTCCCTTTTGAAGGCATCACCCTTCACTAATGCTTGTCCTCTTCCAGCAGGTGTTTCCATCCCCAGCAGAGACGCTGTACCTGGCTGTCGGTGGCTGTAGATGCTGTTGGTGTAGCCGGTGTTGGCGGTGCTTCAGTGCCAAGAGGAGCCAAGAGCTTTTCTGCAGCAGGACGACATGCACAGCGTGTCACAGTGTCCTGGGGGGAAGGTGACCCTCTCCCAGGGGTAAGTCATGCTCTCCTACATGTGTGGCCCTGACTTTCTGAGTTGGTTCTTCTCTGCCTTGAACCAAGAGGAAGCAAAACAGGGCTCTTCAGGCTCGGCTCGGTGGGAATCCAGGCTGGGCTGGTCTCCTGTGCCCACATGGACACCAGGGACAGGCTGGAGGGCAGCTGATGTGTGGCTGAGCTGGTCCAACTCTGAGTGGTCTTTGCTGCTCCCTCAGTGGCACAATGTCAAACCATCTGATGGGCTCCGTAAATGACCCTATAGCACACGTGTCAATGTGTGTGTGTGTGTACACGTTCATGTGTTTGTGTGTGTACATGGGCAATGTGGAAGCCCATAAATTCATGCACCTTCAGCTTGATCTATTTTTGCACTCTCCAAAACACAAGAGCCAAGTTCCTTCCCACACCGCGAGTTGGTGGACGCAGCATCTGCTTCTCAGCATGCAACTAAAAGCCATGTGATGATGATTCTCTTTTTAAAAGTGTTGATTTTGTAGGAAGAGGGAGGGAATTTTTCCTGAGACATTTTTCCTGAGAGGGAAATTAGACCCAGACCTTAATTTGCTTTCTTTTTAAACCTTTCTTTTCTTTCTTGTTAAGAGGCAAATAGTCTAAGTCCTCTACATTGGTGGCTTTTTCAACCTTCTTGCACATGCAGACACCGGTGGGTGGATGTAGAGCTGCCAAAGTGAGGTTTGTCATTCTTGGTAACCTTCCATGGTCACGTACGAGCAAGTATTTCTCAGCCCCTGGTGTAGACCGCAGACTAGCGACTGAAATTGCTCTGCAATGTGTGTGAAGGTGAGCCCTGAATTTTGCATATATTTTTTTCAGGCTTTTCCAACTTAGAGCCGATGTTGGAGGCGAGACAGATCCTGGCGACAGGATCCCAAGAGGGCAAACGCTAAAGGCCGCAGCAGAGGCTTTGCCAAGCGCCCGTTCCTGTACCCACACATCGGGCAGGCAGCACTGCACCGCCCTCAGGACCCTCCGGAGGAGGGGATCGGGAGGGTGGGCTGCCCAGGAGGTGACTGGCTCCCACCCATGGGGGACGGGGAGCAGAGACCCTCTCCTCCTCACCCAGCCACTTTGCCAGCACACCGAGATCATGGCGGGGCTGGAGGCTCTGCCCCCGTGCAGGGAGGAAGATGCGACGTGCATCCCTGCAACCTTCCCACTGGTCCTTCGCTGCCTCCCGTTCCTCCTCTGCTTGGCAGAGACCTTGCCAGACCTGGCTCCGGGGCAGCACGCAAGCCTCATACCCTGGGCCCCGAGATGGGCTTGGAACATCCTCAACGGGCAGCATCTGGCCCCCGAAGTCTCCCTGTGCCCTCAGCCAAGGGGTGGTGGGAGCGGCAAGGTGCCCCCAGCAGCCTGGGTGAGTCACGCACCAGCAACCCAGCAGCAGGTCCCTGCGGCCCCTGGCTGTGCCCCGAGGCTGGCAGCGGGCCGCAGCCCTGCTCGTGCCTCCTCCCTGTCCCCAGAGGTGCAGCACAGCACGTGCAGCTCGGCATGAGCCTGGGTCCCTGAGTTGTCACATCCCTGGGTGGGCCAGGCAGGGGTGGACCCTCGACGGGTACAGATGGGGACACCGAGTGACATGGTACGGCAGTGAGTGCTGTACATGGGCGCTGAGGGCTCATCAGACCTCGTCCAGGCAGGATTTAACCGTGGGGCTCCTCGGTGTGGCTCTGGCAGGCAGGCACCCAGGCACAGGTCAGCTCTGCGGGAGGCTGTCTAGGGAAGGATGCTCCGTGGGAGGATCGGCTGGTGTCCTGGGGGAAAGGTGTTTTCTTGTCTTGTCTCTGCAAGGGAGCAGGGTGCTCCCTTATCCCAGGGCTGCTCTGCTTCTCCCATCTGTCCATGACAGCAATGTGAGCAAAAGGAAGCCCTCAGGGAGGTTTCTCTCCTCTTGCAGGTGAAGGGGTCTGGAGGTTTTCAGATCCAGCACCGGTACCACCTATGTTCCGGCTATGTATCTTGCAGCAGCCCGCTGTGGTGGCAGGCGCTGGCACGGGTGTACCCCTGCAGCACGGCCCGTCTTGCCTCACTGGTGATGGTTCAATGAAGGAAACCCAGCCTCCTCCTCCTCCTCCTCTCCACTGCAGGGTGCTGCAGGAGAGCGGGGACCAGGCTGGGCAGGGGCAGCTCAGGGCAGGCTGCCCTGAGAAGATCCAAGGGAGGCCCTGGGGCAAGAGAGGATGGGAGGAATGTCCGCATGGTGGGGGGTTAGATGAAGATTTGGGGATGGGTGTCCTCAGAGGGGAGACCAGCTCCCACGCTTGGGTGAGATTTCTCTAACCAGCACAAGAGCGAAGTGACTGGTTCTCCAGTGGGGTTCCCTGGGAAGTGGCCACAGAGGGAGCAGAAGACACACCAGGAGGATGCGGTCCTCGGGCACCACCGCCGGCGCCGAGCGCACTCAGCTCCGACCCTGACCAGATGAAAGCAAGTCCTGGAGGGATGCAGCCATCGCTGCTGGATACTGCAGGGAGGCGCAGGGACAGCCCCCCCAGCACGTACCCCACGGCTCTGGGGGGGGACAATTCAGTTCTGCCCACCTCATGCAACACTCACCCATCTCGTCCCCCTGCCCACCTCCTCCCACTTCTCCAGGGGCCTCCAAAACCCATCTTGTTATGGCACCAGCTGGTCAGAATAATAATCCGGGTCTGGAGGGGAGCCAGGACAGAATGCAGCTCCGGAGGTGGGGCCTCGCGGAGCGAGCTATGGCAACGCGGCAGCATCCTTCTTTCCTTCCTTCCTTCCCTCCTCGGGAGGGAGCCCGGCAGAGATACCCTGCCCCGGGGTCAGCCCCAGGCTTGGACCTCTTGCTTCATCTTCTCCTGCAGGTGAGCCTCAGGGGAATCCCTGCCCGAGAGCAGGCTGGTGCAGTGAGGGAGAGCCAGGGAAATCTTGTGCTAGCCGCATTGGTGCCCAGGGAAGGAGGAGATCTGGGTACCCTGCAGACTGGCCCTAACTCCGGGGGAGCAGCTGCAGCTGAAAACAGCACCTCAAGGCAGGAACTGACCCACCAAGGCCAGGAGCTTCCCGTGGCAGCCTGAGGAGCACCTCAAGCCTCGGTGGGAGGGGAGGGCTGGACCCCGCAGGGTGCTCCTCCGAGGGCCCTGCCCCTCACTCCTATGCAGCATTTTGCCTGCACAAACCCTGCTCTCTCCTTCCAGACACCCACGCTCCCCTGACAGCCCTGCTATAGCACTGATGCCCAGCTACCAGTTACCATTTTCAGTCTGGAATGATATTTTTCAGGGAAGAACAGAGCAGTTTGTTACTAAACCCTGAAGGGAAGGATTGAGCCAGATTTCCGTGATGCTGCCTCAAACATACGTGTGTGTGTGTGTCTGTGTCTGTGTGCTCTCCCAGCCTATTTCAGCGCAAAGACAATGAATGAAAAGCTGGTTTCTGTCCCCT